TCCTTCACTTGCAGTAGTTCCCAGTTCAGCTTTCCCTACCTAGAAGAGGTTGAAATTAGTTGGACCAAAGACAGAACCACACATTGTCTGGCATCTTGGAGCCGGCCAGATTTTCTTCTGGTATGATTGTGGGATGGGCGAGACCATGTTGGCATCCCTATTCCCACACAAACAACACACATCTGCGTGGATACAGGATTTCTTTGATGACATTGGGTGGGATTTTAGATGGTTATTACAAACTCTTCTTCCTCAAATGGAAGAACAAATAGGAGCCATACCTCTCTGTGCAGATGCCCCGGACCGAATTCTTTGGAGGATTACATCGGATAGTAACTTTACCACCAAATCAGCATAGCAGCTAGTCTGTTCGGTTTGCCAGCCTCAAGATTCGTATCGATTACTGTGGAGCCCTATTTTGCCTACCACTATTTCATTCTTCTATTGGAGACTGTGGCAGGATCTCATTCCTGTAGATGTGATTATTCAGAGGAGGATTGGATGTCAATTGGCTTCTTGTTGACAGTGTTGTTCTGAGATTGAGACCATCAATCATATTTTCACGAGTAGCAGAATTTCTGACCAGGTATGGCAGCACTTTGGAGACATCTTTCTGATACCTATGACTTCAGGGGAGGGGGTCCGACAGAGGTTCCAGAGATGGCGGTATTCTGGGCAACATATTAGTCGTGGGCACATTCGTACTATCATTCCTCTACTGATATTTTGGTTTCTATGGACTGAGAGGAATGATGCAAAACATAGGGGTGTTCGTATGGTGGCCAGCCGTATTGTTTGGAGGGTCTACCACATGATCTCATTTCTTCATATGGGAGGATTGTTCCGAGTCGTGCATTGGCGAGGGGATGTGACACTTGCACCCCTTTTTGGCATTTCTATGACCTGTCCTATCCCACCACCACCAATTATGGTTGTTTGGCGCACTCCACCAATAGGATCCTATAAGATCAACACTGATGGATGCATCAAGGACGGAATTACGAGTGGTGGAGGCATCATTAGGGACCACACAGGATCCTGCATCAGGGCATTTTCAGTATCGTATGGCACATGTTTGATTTTGGAGGCTGAGCTCAGAGCCATACTAGATGGGATTTTATTGGCCAGAGGACTTGGGCTATCAGCTACTTGGATTGAGGTAGATTCAACACTGGCCATTCACTGCATCACCAAAGGTGGAGGACCATGGACGATTTAGGGTATTCTAAGGCAGATTAAAGACTTCATTTGCTTTGATAGAGACACAGTTTCTCACATCTACAGAGAAGGTAACCAGGTGGTAGATTCTCTTGTGTCAGAGGGTTGGGATCACCAGCATTACCAAGAATATAGACCATTCAACCTACCTCGATAGGTTAGGGCATTGGTGCAGATCGACAGACATGGATAGCCCAGCTTTAGAGGTTCGTAGTTTAGGCTATCATTATTGCATTTTTGTTGTACAAGGAAGTAGTACTTTCTCATTTACTTTGTTCATTTTTAATTTTTCAGTTGTTGCACTGTTGCTCTTTGGAGGTCAGGTTTATGCCCCCCTCCTTCCCTGTACTCTTGATTTTTATGAAATAAACATGGTTGGGGAACCCTTAACCCCAATCAACCTTCCTTGGTGGACCCTAAAATTCATTAAGGATGTGTGGATGTCTAGACTATAAAAAAAAAAAAAAAAAAAAAAAAAAAAAAAAAAATAAAAAAAATTAAAATAACAACATGATGGAGAAACTACAATTTCACTGGAAAAATCAGGTCCATTTTTCTTCATCAGTGGAGCTGAAGAACATTGCCAGAAGGGTCAAAAGCTAGAGGTTATGGTTCTATCCTGTAAACATGGCTTCGGCCACCAATCTACAGCGCAGGCACCTTCTCCTCAGCATCACCATCACCACTACCATGCATTGGCACCAGCCCTGACTAACAGTGGTACTGGTCTGAAGGTGACAGAGGGGTTTATTTATGGCACTACGACGGTGGGAAGTTTGGTTTTGTTGTGTAGACTAGTTTTATTATTCATGGGTTCTAACGTTGAGCTACATTTTATTTTCCTTATTCTTTGTCACGTATATATTTCCTGGTTTTAATTCTAAATTAATTTCAAAAAACCCTAAGACCCGAAAATTACCTAGAAATGCCTGAAAATCAAGTCGAGTCTCTACCGCGGCCAGGATGCGTCCCGGACTAGGCCTGCACACCGTGCCCACAAACTGCCTAGAAATGCCTAAAAATAGGCTGTGTCCCCACCTAGCCAGGACACGTCTATTCACTGTGCCCAAAAACTGCCCGAAATTACCTAAAAATCAAGCTCTGTTCCTACCATGGCCCGAACGTGTCCCTGACATGACCTGTACGCCGTGACCCAGAAATTGATGAGAAATGCCTAAAACTCAGGCTGCGTCCTGGACATCCCCTACGCTCCATGTCCCGAAAACTACCTAGAAATGCTTGGAAATCAGGCTGCATCCTTACCGCAACCCAGAGGAGTCTCGGACATTGCCTACACACCGTGTACAAGAAACAACATAGAAAAACGTAAAAATCATGATGTGTCCCTACAGCATCCTGGGCATGGCCTGCACGCCATGTCCCGAAAACTACTTGAAAACCAGGCTGCATCCTCGTCACGGATCAGACGCGTCCTTGACATTGCCTACACATCGTGTTCCAAAAACTGCCTAAAAATACCTAAAAGTCTGGATGCGTCCCTACCGTATCCTGGACATGGCCTGCACACCGTGTCCATAAAATTGCCCAGTATTGCCTGAAAATTAGGCTCCGTCCCTGCCTTGGCCATGATGCATCCCGGACATGGCCTGGACACTGAGTCCCAGAAATTGCGAAGAAATGCTCGGAAATTAAGCGAAGTCCTAGCCGCAGCCTGGATACGTCCTGGACATGGCCTGTACACCATGCCCACAAACTGCCTACAAATACCTGAAAATTAGGCTGCATCCCTACCACAACCCAGACGCATCCCGGACATTGCCTGCACATTGTACTCTAGAAGCTGCCAAAAAAATACCTGAAAATCAAGATGCGTCCCTGTTGCATCCTGGACATAGCCTCCACACCATGTCCCAGAAACTACCCAGAATTGCTTGAAAATTAGGCTCCGTCCCTGCCATGCCATGACGCGTCCCGGACATGGCCTACACACCGAGTCCTAGAAATTGCCAAGAAATACCTGAAAATAAGGCTGTGTCCTTGTCGAGGCCAGGACGCATCTCGGATATGGCCTACACACCATGCCCACAAACTGCCTACAAATGCCTGAAAATCAAGCTGCGTCCCTACCGCGGCCAGGACGCGTCCCGGACGTGTCCTGCACATCATGCCCAAAAACTTCCCAGGTATGCCTGAAAAGCGGCGTCCCTATCATGGCCCGAACGCATCCTGGTCATGGCTACACACTATGTCCTAGAAATTACCTTAAAATGCCTGAAAATTTAGCTGCGTCCCTGCCTCGTCCTGGACATGGCCTGCAAATCGTGCCCCAAAAACTACCTAGAAGGGCCTGAAATCATGTTGCATCCCTGCAGCAGCCCCGACGTATCTCGGACATTGCCTGCACACCGTGTCCAAGAAATTGCCGAGAAATACATGAAAATCAGGTTAGCCTACACACCGTGTCCCATAAACTGTCTAGAAACGCTCGAAAACTAGGTTGAATCCCTACCGTGACCCGAACGCATTTCGGACATTGCTTGCACACTGTGTTCCAGAAACTGCCTAAAAAAACCTAAAAGTCAGGATGCATCCTTGCCGCATCCTGGACATGGCCTGTATATCGTGTCCCAGAAATTGCCCAAAATTGCCTGAAAATCAGGCTCCGTCCCAACCGTGGCCATGATGCGTCCCGAACATGGCCTGCAAAACGAGTCCCACAAATTGCGAAGAAATGCCTAAAAATCAAGTTCTGTCCCTTCAGCGGCCAGGACATGTCTTGGATATGGCCTGCACATCGTGCCACAAAAAGCCAACAAATGCCTAAAAATCAGGATGCATCCCTACTGCAGCAAGGACGCGTCCCAAACTTGGCCTACCAAAAACTTCCTAAAAATGACTGAAAATCAGGCTGCGTCCCTGCTGTGGCCCAGACGCTTCCCGTTCATGGCTTGCACACCATGTCCCAGAAACTACCTAGAAATGCTTGAAAATTAGACTGCGTCCCTGTCGCGTCCAGGTCGTGGCCTGCACACCGTGTCCCAGAAAACTGCGTAAAAATGCCTGAAAATCAGGATGCTTCCCTGCCACAGGCTAGACGCATCCCAGACTTGGCTTGCACACCGCACCCCAGAAACTGCCTAGAAATACATGAAAATCAGGCCGCGTCCCTATCGCATCCTGGGCATTGCCTGCACATCATGTCCCAAAAATTGCCTAGAAATGCGTGAAAATCAAGTTGCATTCCTACCGTGATCAAGACAAATCTTGGACATGGCCTGCACAGTGTGCCCAAAAACTGTCCAAAATTACCTGAAAATCAGGCACTGTCCTTGTCGTGCCCGGATGTGTCCCAAACATGACCTGCACAATGTGACCCAGAAACTGACGAGAAATGCTGAAAAATCAAGTGGTTTCTACGACATGGATTGCACACCATGCCCAAAACCTTTCCAAAAATGCCTGCAAGTCAGGCTACATCCTTGTCGTGGCCAAGACTTGTCCCGAAATTTAGCCTGCACACCATGTCCCAGAAACTGTCCAGAATGCCTGGGATGGTGCCTGGGTGCCTGACGTGGCCTGCACATCGTACTTTCTTCGTTTGGTTGAAAATCTGTTTGTGTCCCTAATGTGGCCGAGACGCGTCCCGAACATTTCCTACACACTATGCCCACAAACTGCCTAGAAATGCCTAAAAATCAGGTTATGTCCCTGTCGCGGTCAGGACGCGTCCCGAACATGGCCGGCACATCGTGACCACAAACTGCCTAAAAATGCCTAAAAATTAAGTTTCGTCCCTACTGCAGCCAAGACTTGTCCCGGATATGGCATGCACACCAAGTCCCCGAAACTATCTAAAAATGCCTGAAAATAAAGCTGCGTCCTGGACATGTCCTACATCCTATGTCCAAGAAACTCTAAATCCTAAATCATAAGCTCTAAACTGTAAGCCCTAAACCCTAAACCTTAAGCCTTAAACCCTTAGCCCTAAACCCTAAGCCCTGGACCTTGGACCCTGAACCCAGAACCTTTCTATTCTATTGTCTACAAAATTACTAAGATTTTATTTGAAAATCTGTCGGTTTTTCACTTAAAATGGCTTCACTCAAAAATATTTTCGTATTTTCGACCGTCGTGTTTTTGCTGTGTGTTGTTTTTGAAGCAAGAGAGTTCGTAGAAGGCGGTGAATATGGGCAGTTCTATCTTCTATTGATGAGTTCAACAAATGGGCTAAGAAAATTTGTTTTCAGATTGGAGATTCTTTAGTTCTAAAGTATGATTCCAAGACCGATTCAGTGCTGGAAGTGATCGAGGAAGACTACAAAATCTGCAACAACACCAATCCAATAAAATCACACCATGATGGAGAAACTACAATTTCACTGGAAAAATTAGGTCCATTTTTCTTCATCTATGTAGCTAAAGAACGTGTTCAGAACGGTCAAAAGCTAGAGGTTATTGTTCTGTCCTATAAACATAGCTCTGGCCAACAATCTACAGCGCAGGCACCTTCTCCTCATCATCACCATCACTACTACCATGCACCGGCGCCAGCCCCGACTAATGATGGTACTAGTCTGAAGGCGACGGAGAGGTTTATTTGTGGCACTGCGGTAGTGGAAATTTTGGTTGTGTTGTGTAGACTAGTTTTATTATTCATGGGTTCTAACGTTGAGCTACATTTTATTTTCATTATTCTTTATCACGTATATATTTCCTTCTTTTAATTCTAAATTAATTTAAAAAACCCTAAACCCTAAAACTTATGACCAAAAAATTGCCTAGAAATGCCAGGCTGCATCCCTGCCATGGCCATGATGCGTCCCAGACTGGGCCATCACACTGAGTCCCAAAAATTGCCTAGAAATGCCTAAAAATCAGGTTGTCTCTACCACAGCTAGGATACGTCCTGGACTTGGCCTGGGCACTGTGCCCACAAGCTGCCTAGAAATGCTTGAAAATCAGGTGCATCCCTACCTGGCCAAGATGCATCCCAGACATGGTCTGTACGCCGTGCTTAAAAATTGCCCAAAATTAGCTAAAAATCAGGCTCTATCCCTGCCGTGTCCCTGACATGACCTGCACACCGTAACCCAAAAACTAACGAGAAATGCCTGAAAATCAGGTAGCATCCATACCGCGTCCTGGACATCACCAGTACACCATTTCCTAGAAACTACCTAGAAACGCCAGGAAATCAGGCCACAGCCCAGACGAGTCCTGAACATTGCCTGCACACCGTGTCCAAGAAACTACATAGAAAAATATGAAAATCAGGATTTGTCCCTGCAGCATCTTGGAATGGCCTACACACCGTGTCCCGAAAACTGCTTGAAAACAAGGCTGCATCCCTATCGCGGACCAGACGCATCCCGGACATTGCCTGTACATCATGTTCCAGAAAATGCCTAAAAATACCTAAAAGTCTGGATGTGTCCCTGCCGCATCTTGGTCATGGCTTGCACACCGTATCCACGAAACTGCCCAGAATTGCCTGAAAATCAAACTCCGTCTCTACCTTGCCCATGACGAGTCCCGGACATCGCTTGTACACGGAGTCCCAGAAATGCCTAAAAATTAGGCTGCGTCCCAGCCCGTCCCGGACATGGCCTGCACACCGTGCCCACAAACTACCTACAAATGCCTTAAAATCAGGCTGCATCCCTACCGAGGCTAGAACACACCCCGGACGTTGCCTGCACACTGTGCTCAAAAACTTCCCAGAAATGCCAAAAAATTAGGCTGTGTCCCTGTCGTGTCCCTGACGGGTCCCGATCATGGCCCGCACACTGCTTCCCAGAAACTGCCTAGAAATGCCTGAAAATCAAGCTGCGTCCCTGTCGCATCCTAGACATGGCCTACACACCGTGTCCCAAAAATTGCCTAGAAATGCCTGCAAATCAGGCCGTATCCCTACATCAGCCCCGACGCATCCCAAAAATTACATGCACACTGGGTCGAAGAAATTTCCTAGAATTTTACGTGAAAATCAAGATGTGTCCGTACAGCATCCTGGATATGGCCTGCACACCGTGTCCTAGAAACTGCCTAGAAATGCCAAGAAACCTGGCTACATCACTACCACGGCCCAGACGAGTCCCGAACATTGCCTGCACACCGTGTTCCAGAAATTGCCTAAAAATACCTAGAAGTCAGGATGCGTCCCTGTCGCATCCTGGACATGGCCTACACACCGTGTCCTAGAAACTACCCAAAATGCCTGGGAAGGTGCCTGTGCCCCTAACATGGCCTGCACACCGTGTCCTAGAAACTACGTAAAATGCCTTGGAAGGTGCCTGTGCCCCTAACATGGCCTGCACACCGTGCTTTCTTCGTTTGGTTGAAAATCTGCTTGTGTCCCTAACGTGGTCGGGAGGCATCCCAAACATTACCTACACACCGTGCCTACAAACTGCCTAGAAATGCCTGAAAATCAGGTTGCTTCCCTGTCGTGACCAAGACACGTCTAGAACATGGCCTACACAACATGCCCACAAACTGCCTAGAAATGCCTAAAAATCAGGTTGTGTCCCTGCCGCGGCCAGGATGCGTCACGGACATGGCCTGCACTCCATGTCCCAGAAAACTGGCTAAAAATGCTTGAAAATAAGGCTGCATCATGTCCTGCACCCTGTGTCCTAGAAACCCTAAACCGTAAGCCCTAAACCCTAAGCCCTAAATCGTATCCCAGTATGTGTTATCAACATGGAGGTAGTGCTCTTGTCTCACATCTCTCATTTGCTGACGATATAATCATCTTTGCCAACGATCAGAAACAGTCTATCAGGAGGGTCTTAGACTACTTGGAGCACTATGAAGGAGTTTCTGGCCAATTGGTGAATAGAGACAAGAGCGGTATTATACTATCCAGACGGGCATCCACTAGTCAGATCAGACGACTAGAGATTTTGACGGGCTTCAGACATCAGCAGCAGCCTTTCACTTATTTGGGTGTCCCCTTATTCAAGGGGACTAAGAGGAGCTTCCTTTATGATGACCTTATACAGAAGATAAGGGATAGGATATCAGGTTGGGCCTCACAATTACTATCGCCTGGGGCTCGTATTACATTACTGAGGTCAATACTTTCTTCTATACCTTTACATCTTCTTTAGATTATGCAGCCGCCTAAGGCAGTGCGGAAGAAACTTGAGAGCATCTTTGCCCGATTCCTATAGGATTCTAAGGATCAAGCACGACGTCTACATTGGAGGAGTTGGAAGGAGATTTACCTTCCTACTGATGAGAGAGGCCTCGACTTTAGGAGATTACAGGTTGTGGTGGACACCTTCTCCATGAAGCTCTGGTGGTTGTTCCGATCTCAGAGGTCACTTTGGGCTCAGTTTTTAATGGGCAAATATTGTAAGGGGATGCATCCTTTACTTGCAGCAATTCCTAGTTCAGCTTCTCCTACCTGAAAGAGGCTAAAATCAGTTGGGCCACGGACGGATCCACACATTGCTTGGCACCTTAGAGCCGGTCAGATTTTCTTCTGGCATGATTGTTGGATGGGCAAGTCCACGTTGGCATCCCTATTCTCCCACAGATAGCACACATCTGCGAGGGTACAGGATTTTTTTGATGACACTGGGTGGGATTTTGGACGGTTATTATAGGCCCTTCCTTCTCACATGGCGGAATAGATAGGGGCGATACCTTTATGTACAGATGCCCCGGACCGAATTGTTTGGAAAATTACTTTGGATGGTGACTTTACCACCAAATCAGCATGGCAACTAGTCCATTCGGTTCACCAGCCTCAGGACTCATATCGACTGCTGTGGAGCTCTATTTTGCCTGCCACTATTTCATTCTTCTACTGGAGACTATGGCAGGATCTCATTCTAGTAGATGTTGTTATTCAGAGGAGAATTGGATGTCAGTTGGCTTCTCGTTGTCAGTTTTGTTCCGAGATTGAGACCATCAATCATATTTTCACGGGCAGCAGCATCTCCGACCAGGTATGGCAGCACTTTGGAGACATCTTTCAGATACCTATGACTTTAGGAGAGGGCGTCAGACAGAGGTTCCAGAGATGGCGATTTTCTGGACAGCACATTTACCGTGGACACATTCGTATTATCATTCCTCTACTGATATTTTGGTTTCTATAGACTGAGAGGAATGATGCGAAGCATAGAGGTATTCGTATGGTGGCCAGACGTATTATTTGGAGGGTCTACCGCATGATCTCCTTTCTTCATATGGGAGGACTATTCCGAATTGAGCATTGGCGAGGAGATGTGACACTTGCACCCTGTTTTGGCATTTCTTTGACCCGTCCTCTCCCACCACCACCTATTATGGTTGTTTGGCACACTCCACCAGTTGGATCCTACAAGATCAACACTGATGGATGCGTTAAAGATGGATTTGCAAGTGGTGGAGGCATCATTAGGGACCACGCAGGATACTGTATCAGGGCATTCTTAGCATCATATGGCCCATGTTTCATTTTGGGGGCTGAGCTCAGAGCCATACTAGATGGGCTTCTATTGGCCAGAGGACTTGGGAT